GGCAAGCATTCGTTGTCTGCCAATTCGTTGGATACCCTTCATAGGTGACACCTTTAACAAAACATAATCTCTAACGAGAAACTCTAAAGGTCGACACCTCTGATCCGCGTAACTCGTTTCCTGGCTCTAGGTTGCAAGAATATGTTCTCGAATCAATGTTATCTTCTCTAAAGTTTGCCTAACCAAATCTGGTCCAAGTAGCAAGCTATCTTCCGGCTCTGCCCAAATAATCGGGGATCTACAAGGCCTTCCATACAAAGCCTCATAAGGAGCTATACCTATCGCCGAGTGATAACTGTTGTTATATACAAACTCAATCAATGGAATATGGTCCTCCCAGCTACCGTGGAAACCAATAACACATGCCCAGAACATGTCCTCCAACAGTTAGTTGACTATCTTCGTTTGGCTATCTGCTTGCGGGTAGAATATACCACTATATGATAGCTGGCTGACAAAAGAATTCGGGAAGCTCTTCTAGAAATGTGATATGAAAACTAAGCCACGATCTGATACAATCATTTATGGGACTCCATGCAGTCTCACAATCTCCTGGATGAAAATCCTCACATTAGTCTCCACTGTGTAAGTTCTCTTAACGGATAGGACTCCATGCAGTCTCACATTCCCTTTATTAGACCTCGACAATCCTATGATGAAATCCATACAAATATTTGCCTACTTCCACTTAGGAATGGGTAAATGCTGTAGGGTTCCCGCGGGTCTCTGATATTCTACATTCACTTGCTGACAGATAAAGCACTTAGATGCATACTCTACGATATCGCTATGCATACTACTCCACCAAAAATGTCTCTGAAAGCATACTAATGACACTAGGAAAGAACTCTAGAGGGGGTGAATAGGGTTTATACTAATCTAATCCGATTTAATGCTGATTAAAACTAATTGACAAGTTATCCTAGCAAATAACATATGCAATTAGTTATTAGTAACGATAAGTAATATAAACAAGGGTCAAACATGATAAACAAATGATACAATTGTGATAGGGCAATGTAAACAATACAAACACACAATATGATCACGGAGTTCGGACCTTCCGTCCTACGTCTCCATTCCCCACTCCCAGGGAGAAATCTACTATCACACCGGGTTTTTAATGATCACCCGAAAACGTTTACACCTCACACTCGGTTTTCTAACTCACCGAAAAATTTACAACACTCACAATGTAAACACACTAACTATCATCTCAAGTGTTGGTCTCTAGCCCGTATCTCCCTCAAGTGTTAGGAATTACAACCTCTCTCTAGGCATTATCACCTACCCCACTCCTCTTAGGATGACCCCGTTTCTCATCACACACTCCTCTTAGTGTACTAGTATAATACAAAGTGAATCCTCACAATACAACATTAGGTTTTCTAGTTCACCGAAAAATTTACAACTTAAACACTTGCAATTACACCCTCTAAGTGTTGGCCTAGCCCGTGTCACCTTCCTCCGATGGTCCAATCCGCCTTGGGTTCTTTGGAAATCTCCTATTTTGGGTTTGAATCCAAGAGTCCTCTGCTTGAGCACTGACCACTCTATCAATCCATAATGGCTACTACCACCAATCTTTGGCCTAAAGTCAAACTGACTGAGAGTGAGAAGATATCGATACAATGAGCACCTCAAAGCTACAAGCCCATGATGATACTTCCTACTCAACACCTCTTCTACAATGTTCGCCTTTCTCAGATGATACTGAAGTGGGTACTCATAATCCTTAATGAACTCGACCCATCGTCGCTATCTTCTACATGTTGGGTACGAGTACGGCTTCATGATAAAAGTACCCGAGTAACATAGGAGCGACTGTTATTTTCCTCTAGGCACTTCTTAAATTATGAGTTACATTAATACCTCATGATTTATATACTATTTACATATTTCTATTTTATTTAATAATATGAACATGTTTAAACTGTTTAGCTTTTAATTGTAACCCTACATTCGAACCAAAGTCATGATCAAGCTTAGCTTATTCCCTAAATCCATGTTTGTAGAAGTCGTTACTGATAAATCATTTTATTTATGTTAGCATGGCTTGTAACTACTTCAGATATAAGAATTGGATGTACGTGGGTCGTGTAGAACGCATGCAATCTATTTTCGATAATGGAGTTAGTGCTTTCATGGACTTTCTACGTAAACACGATATGGTCCGATATAGGAGACTCATTTGTCCATGTAAGTTATGTGTGAATAACTTACATCAATTGGAGGAAGAAGTAGAACTTCATATTATGATGAATGGTTTTGTTAGCATTTAAAAATCTAGGGTATATCATAGAGAAATTGAAGGTCGCAGTGATGCAGATGAAGAAGAACAAGAAGAAGATAACTTGTTTCTCGATGAGGAAATAGAGGAAATGGTTAGGTAGCTCTTGGTAACACTAACCCTGCTGAAGATCTTCCTTTCGGAGGAGGACATCGTGAAGACAATTATGATAAATACATGAATGATGCTACGATGCCTATTTATAAGAATGCAAAATACTCCACGCTATCATGGTTCGTCCATCTATTCTAGATTAAATGTTTAAATAAATAGAGCAACAACTAATTTACGATGCTCGTCAAGTTTATTAAAGATTCTATGCCTCTAGGGAACCATGTGCCTGAGAGCTGGTACGAATCTCAAAAAATAATGTCTAATCTTGGTCTTATGTGTGAGATGATACATGCATGTCCTAATGATTGTATAACTAACTGGGAAGAAAATTTAGATAAGATAGAGTGTCCTATCTTTGGAGAGGGTAGATATAAGAAGAAAGTACATGGTTAGAAGAAAGATATACCTATCAAGATAGTACAATACTTTCCTATAACACAAAGGCTGCATAGGCTATTCAAGTGTAAGAAGATATCTTTAGTCAGGAAGCTCACAATATCAGGCTATTGGCTAGTGATGGCTTTTGCCCCTTCATCTTTAAAGGCAATCCGCACAGCAAATGGCCTGTTGTGATGATGGTTTATACCCTCTCGCTGTGGTTTTCTATGGACCAAACATATTTTTTGATGCCTCTTCATATTGATGGTCCTAAGTCACCGGGAAACAATATTGACATCTACCATCGACCTCTTATCGAAGAGTTAAGGTCTTTATTCACCGATGGTGTGGAGACATACGATGCGGACATGGGGACAAACTTTACCATGCGTGTAGCCTTAATGTGGACAATCGTTGATTTTCCTACGTATGGAATGCTATTTGGTTTGTCTGCACAAGGTTACATTGCATGTCCTTACCGTCATCTCCACACAACATTGAGAAGACTACCCTTTAGCAATAAGACTTGTTATTGCAACCATTAGTACATGTTGGATGAAAATCATCTTTATAGAGATGACATCATCCACTTTGATGGTACTAAAAAAAATTGCCTACATCCAGACCCATTATCCGGAGATGATATACTTGCTTAGGGAATGTTAAAAACAACATGACTTTCAAAAAGGTTAAGGGAAGACAAGAAACACCACAAGGATGAAATAAGAAAAGTATCTTCTTCGAAGAACCCTAATGGAAGACAAATAAAATGTGGCATAACCTAGACGTCATGCACATTGAGAAGGGAGTATCTGAGCACATCTTTAACTTACTTCTCTATAAAGCTGGAAACTAGTACTCCCCAATGACATGTATCACATGTCACTAGATGAAAAGAAAAAGTTTCTTCAAGTGTTATATGAGTTGAAGGTTCCTTCGGGGTTTTCAGGATCATTTAGTAAGAAAAAGATTGTTAAAGGCAATATCGAAGGGTTGAAGAGTCATGATCACCATCTTCTTCAACTCTCTCTCAGGACTTCCCTTCCTAAATCAGTCCATTTAGTGACCAACGATCTTCTTTAGAATGACGCCCGCATTTATCAACAAGATTCATCGCTTTATCCTTCTCAATATCGAATGACTTTGAGAAGTTAGAGAGTATGTCTATTTCACATAATTATATATGTTTATATGACATAATATACTTATCATATTAGTTACTCATTTTGACATTAGTATACACAAGGATGAAATACATGAAATACGTGGAATGCATAGTAATTGGAATGAGGCACATGTAACACATCATTAGGATAATTTTTGTAATTGGTTTAAACATTATGTAAGATTTTTATTATCTCATTTTTTGACTCATTCTATTAATTTAATCTAACATCTTTATGTAATTGTCATATTAACCTTTTCGTCAGAGCCGACTAACGGGTGTAGAATCAATATTAGATAAGGAACTTGGATATTTGGCTACACTTAAAGATGCTGAAGTTAAATACTATAAATGATTTGGTGTTGAAGGCTACAAGTTTGAAATCAAGTCTACAAAAGAATCTTGAACCACCCAAAATGGTGGAATTGAAACCCTAGGCACTAATGATGAGACATACTATGAGTACCTTGATAATATAATTGGTATCAACAATCCAGGATGAGTAGGATGCATTTATGTCTTTCAGTGTGTTTGGTATGATATGAAGACTGGAACTTGTAAGTTGAAAGACCATTACGGGACTTGGGTAGATGAATATGGATTGACGAGTGTAAATACCACACGTTTTTCCTTTGAGGATGATCCATTTATATTTCCAGAACAAGCATTTTAAGTATACTACTCAAAGTGCTTGAGACATTCGGGGTGGAGTGTTGTATGTCGATGGAGGCCTAGGGATACTTATGATGTCCTACAATTCGTAAATTTTGAGGTTGTAGAGATTAATGATGATGAAGAATTTGAGCAGGGAGGAGTTGTATGTCAAGATAAATCTCCTGAATCTGATAAAGTTTTGTGGATTAGGAATGATTTGAATAGTAAAATACTTGTACATATTCCTACAACTTCTAGGGAATCTGTAGAACCAAACACTTCTATAAAGCAAAAAAGGTAACCATTATAAAAATTCATATTGTTTAAAATTTATATCTTCAAATTTATTAATATGTCTATTTCGCATATATCTTATATGAATTGTAAAATTCTTTCTAGGGCTTGACGAAGATGTCTAGAGTTCCATCACGGAACATAGCACGTAACTTATACAGTGCGAAGACCTGCATCCTCAGGCGAGAGAGTGTAGGAGAGAACTCGAATCTGCTCATGTTGCTACATCTGTACCTAGCGTTAGGGAGTTTACTCCAGTCGTAGGTAACTATTTAATTTTCTTTTGATTCTGTTTTAACATGACACCTAATCTTTATTCCTTACTTATATCTCTTTATTTTGTATTTTTAATGTCACAATTGTGCTACTCTTGCTATTTAATAGAACCATCTTATCTTGATTAGCAAATCAGCAAGCGCCTACAGAAGAAAATTATTTACAGACGACTACCCTTCACACTCCATACTTTCTAGACAATCGTCTAGTCAGTATATTTTTAGTGTATTAAATTTTAATCTTAATACGTTGAGGGTAGATATATTCAAAATAATAATTTGGCATGCTTAATTAAAACCCCAGCGCCCACACGGACCTTTACCTATTATTTTCACATCTTTTGCAAGAAGTAAGGGCATAAAGTCATAAAATTGACAGAATATTGAATATCATATTTCATTTTTTACCTAAAATGTTTAAACAAATAAATATGCCTATATGTCTAGCTACTGTAGAAATCTTCCTCTGATATTGTAATTTTGATGGTGCAGGTGGCCAGTTTTTCCAGTGAGTTGTTTGTGGTAATTTGCTAGGATATGTCTGTTTAACTCTTAGGCAATCATTTGCAATTTGCATATTCTGTTTCCTAGTTTTAGAAATCAAAGGTTGGTTGTTGTGATGAGAAACAGTTGTAATAGTGGTAATTGTGAAGTTCCGTAGATTAAAGAATCTTGGTTTTTTTTAACTCTATTTTTCTTAGACGTGATAAAACAAGGAGTTCTAGCTAGCAGTGGGATTGTTCATGCGGGCTGGCTTTTCTTCCCTTTTTTGTGTTTATTTTTTGTTTTTTGTTTTGAGCTTATCCATGGGATGTCATGCAGTTCTAACTACAAGAAAATGCATGTTTTGGTGATCAATAAGTATGGTTGGATTCCCATCATATAATTCCAAGTAAAAAAGCTTTCCAGGCTTTCTGTACAAATTTATCTAGTAACGGCCGGAAAAGATACAAAAAAAGCAACTGCACCTCTTCCATGAGCTGTCTGTAATTAGGAATATAGTTTAGCTCCACTATGCATAGCCTAACACCAAACTACTATGAGATACTTTACATTTCTTATTTATCTGCCAGAATATACCCTAAAACAAGATATCTTAATCCGAGTGATTTGCTCAATTGCCGTAATCATTGCATTCTGTTTGATGTAGCTCGAAGTTTAATGTTCAGCAAAAGTAATCATTTACTTTCTAATGATGTATCCCATTAATTTATATTCAAGGATTTGAAATCTTGGAGTTTATACTCTGAAGATCATCAAGTAAATGTTTTTGCTTCTTTTTAGTTGTTTTACTTGTTTCAGTTTTTCCGTACATGTGCATGTGCGTGTGTACGTTTGTGCACACAAGTGCATACTCTGATCGATTTGTAGAACTATCAGATTTCTACTCATTCATCTCGTAAACTTCTATAATTCGAGGATTTTAAGCTTGGGATAGTAGTTTATAGGATTGTACTTGAAGAAGAAATTGGTACTAGGTAGAACTGGCAACATGGATCGAGGGAATAATAATTTGCTTATTTATGCTATTTAATAGGGAGGAACATTTTTATTTTATTATTTACTTAACTATTACTGAATCAAATTAGTCTTCGTTCAAAATATTTTTGTGAACAGAGCCTCAATCTTTTATATTGAAACAAGTTAATAGATAAAATGGAGATGAACTTTTACTTCAGTTTCATTTGATCTCAAGGAGTTACTAGTCATAGTGTAGACAGCATTCCTTTTGCTCAGCAGCTCATGCCTGTGTTTTATATTACTGTAATTTATTTAGATTGGACTTAGTGGTGTACATGAGTCATGACGGATCTTAAAGACAAGCAAACAATATGGAAACTGCAGGCTCACATTTTTGCCAATGTCTATCATGACGCTAGTTCAGTGTGAGGAGAGACTTTGAACTATATGCTCAATAAGACAATTAATGGAATGGCTTAAACTGAAGAGGGATTTACATATGGTTTTAAGTTCTATAAATTTTAAACAGGCATATTTTGATAGGATCCATACGAAGAGATTGTGAACCATGAATAAGCGGGTATGATGTAATTTGTTTTGTAACAATGTCAATATCATACCCTGACAATTCCTTGTAGTTTTCTCTGCATGGGTGTTTGAAATGAAATGCACTAGACTTTTGTGATAGTGAGTGGGCTACATTTTACTTGGCTTGACCTTGTACCTTTTTTCATGTCATCTAGGAAGCTAACAGGCTAAAAGAACTGCTCTAGTATAAATCAGGGTTGATAGCATTGCATCTGACCATTAGCTTGCGGTAATGTATTTTGTTCATAGAATCTAGCCGTCGTTAGAATAAGCTACACAACCTGTACAGAAAACGTGTAGACAAATTCTTGGAGGTCTAGATTTATGTTTAATTTAATTAATATATCTGCTATCATCATGAAATATTTGTATTTACATAAAACATTTTTATTGTCTAGCTGCATCTACATCTACGCCGGCATGTGTTCCAAATCACTCCTTTAATCTTCGTCCTAATCGTGCTCTTACACATGCGGAGCAACAGGGTGATGGAGATAGCAGTTTGTATATATATCATTTTAATTTATATTATTTATTATTCTTTATATTATCTAATGTCTTATCTATCTCATCACATACAGTGAAATCACGGTTCTTTGTTCGCACTCGAGGCTCCAATACTGCCCATAAGCTGAAGCCCGATGCTAAAAAGGGAGAGAAGGCATGACTTCTGTACCTCAATAATAGGGGCCGCCCCCATTGGTAATTATGCTGAGAAATGGGTAAAGTATGTGCGGGTGGAGAGCCGTGGGTATCGCAAATATCCTCTCCATTTAGAATGGCACGACAAACATATTAGGTCATTTGATGATTTCTTTATAAGATGTCAGGTATAAATATATATGTATTTTGATTTATCTGATTAATTTATTATCATTTTGTACATAATATTTTAACCATGTGATTCGTTTATTAAATATGCAGAAGGATTATGGGTTTCTCCCCCTAGATCCTAATCAGCCTCTCTCCTATCATATTCATTATCGAGGAATGAAGTCTCAGTTGTAGGAGAGGCTCCGGTATAATAGGTGTCAGGTTAAACATGAGTGTTATGAGGTGTGGAAAAATACTTCCGAAGCAGAGAGGGAGGCTCTCTTTGCTACGCCAGCATTTTCTTAGATTGATAGAGACTCGTAGGCTAAAATGTACTCTTTTTATGATTCAGAGGATAAGGTGTATAGTTTAAACTAAATCCATTGTTTAGTAGGTAATTAATTTTTCCTTTGTTCGATTACAAATCTAAATATAATAATAATATGCAGGAGGAGGTAAGACGTAATGCGCAGAATCGGACGTCAAATTTGCATGGTATAGCAACATATATAGGTGGCTCGAGGAACACGTGTCGGGCTATGGATCGATTTGTAAATTTGCTTCTTAAAACTATTTAAAATTCAGATTAGATAATTCTTAATGATTTGATTGATTATACAACATATTTTTGGTGATTTATAGAAAGGTCAAATTATTAAGGATGGTGGCACACCTTGTTGTATAGTACCATAGTGCTTCAAATAGTTAGTGGGTCATTCTTTTCATTTTATTTGTGGCTGCTAGTTTTCTGTTTTTAGTGGGTCCTTTAGTCTTTAATTTGTTGGTTAGCATTTTCATTTATGCAGTTAGAGTCATGGGCCATGTTTCCCCACTTTCTCCTTATTTTTAGCTATTTCAGTAGTGGTGTAAGCCTACTTAAGGCTTTGATTGATTTGTGTAAGGTGTGTTATTGCAGTTAATGAAAAGAAACTTTACTTTCTTCCCAATAATATTCTGGTATCAGAGCTTTGAGAGAGAGAAAACACGGGCAATTTTACTCTCCTCCAAAAAAAAACCAAGTCCGATCTTTAACTGGAAAAGGGAAAGTAAGAGAGAGAGAAGTGAAGTAAACACACACCATAAAAAAAATTGAGCGATGGCAAATAACGGGATGAGTTCCGTTTCTCAGCCCTTAATTCCAACTTTTAAGGGCGAAAATTATCACTTTTGGAGTTTGAAGATGAAAACCATGTTCAAGTCTTAAGAGCTGTGAGACTTAGTCGAGAACGAGTTTGAAGATCCAAAACCTGCTGTACCCGACCAACAGTTGCGGGAGAATCGCAAGAAGAATGCAAAGGCTTTGTTTCTCATTCAACAGGCCCTTGATGATGAAATTTTTGCCCGAATTGCAGCAGCTTGTACCTCCACTCAGGCATGGGAGATACTAAAGCAAGAGTATTTATGCGACAAGAAGGTAATTGCTGTGAAATTGCAAACTCTCCGTCGCAATTTTGAAATGTTGGCTATGAAAACTGGTGAATTTGTGCAAGTGTATCTGTCTAGAGTGTCTGGGCTTGTGAATCATATGAAATCGTATGGTGAAGACGTCAGTAATGCAAGTGTATCTGTCTAGAGTGTCTGGGCTTGTGAATCATATGAAATCGTATGGTGAAGACGTCAGTAATGAAATTGTTGTGAGTAAAGTTTTGAGGAGTTTAACCTTAAAATTTGATCATGTGGTTGCTTCCATTGAGGAGTCTAAGGACCAATCTACATATTCTTTTTATGAGTTGTTGAGTTCCCTGTTGGCTCATGAAGATAGGTTGAATAGGTCCTATGAAAAGGTTGACGAAAAGGCATTTCAGGCAAAGGGGGAGTCCTACTATAAAGGCAGGTCAGAAAGTTTAGCAGGAAGAGGTCAAGGCAGAGGTGGTTTCCGTGGCCGAGGTCGTGGTGGTGGTAGAGGCAGAGGTCAGTTTGGTGATCAACGTCAGCATAAGAGCACCATCCAGTGCCGTTATTGCAAAAAACTTGATGCGGCATAATCAGTGAAAACTTTGGTTAAGGAACCGATGAGGTAGGACCTGAATTTTTCTAAGGCAAAGACTACAGCTAAAAACTCTTTCTCTGTGACAGAGTAGTTTTGCTGGGCATCATTCAGAGTCCTACTGGCGTAGTAAATCACATGTGGTTTTCCATCAAACCGTTGTCCTAAAACAGCTCCAATCGCAGAATCAGATGCATCACACATCAGTTCGAATGGTAAGGTCCAGTCCGGTGCATGAATGATAGGAGCAGTGGTTAGCTCTTTTTTCAGATATTCAAAAGCTTTGAGGCAGTCGGGAGAGAAGACAAATGATGTATCCTTGGCTAAGAGATTGGTCAAGGGTCTAGCAATTTTGCTGAAATCCATGATGAAACGTCGGTAAAAACCAGCATGACCAAGAAATGATCTGACATCTTTGACTGTTTTGAGAGGAAGGAGATTGGAAATAAGATCTACCTTAGCTTTGTCCACTTCGATTCCCCTATTAGAAACCACATGTCCTAAGACAATGCCTTGTTTGACCATGAAATGACATTTCTCCCAATTGAGAGTCAGATTTTCTCCCTACACCGTTCTAGGACCAGTTTAAGATGATGAAAACATTGGGAAAATGTGTCACCAAAAATGGAAAAGTCATCCATGAAAATTTCGAGAAATCGCTCTACCATGTCGGAAAAAATACTGATCATGCAACGTTGGAATGTGGCCGGTGCATTGCACAGGCCAAAAGGCATGCGTCGGTATGCGAATGTTCCATACGGGCAAGTGAAGGTGGTTTTCTCCTGATCTTCTGGAGCGATAGGGATTTGATTGTAACCTGAATATCCATCCAGGAAACAGTAGAACTCGTGTCCTGCTAAACGCTCTAACATTTGGTCAATGAAAGGAAGAGGGAAGTGATCTTTCCGAGTGGCTAAGTTGAGCTTTCGGTAGTCAATGCAAACTCGCCATCCGGTTTGGATTCGAGTGGGAATCAGCTCATTAGCCTCATTTTGGATCACGGTGATCCCAGATTTCTTTGGAACAACTTGGACTGGACTCACCCATGAACTATCAGAAATGGGATAAATGATCCCATGATCGAGACATTTCAGAATGTCTTTCCTAACGGCTTCTTTCATCACTGGGTTTAACCTACGTTGAGCATCTCTAGTAGGTTTGGCATCATCTATCAAATGGATTCGGTGTTGAACAATGGTTGGACTAATCCCTTTGATATCAGCCATGGTCCATCCAATGGCTTCCCTATTCTCTCTTAAAACGGCTAAGAGAGCTTCCTTTTGACCGGTAGTCAACTCAGAAGAAATGATAACTAGTAAAGACTCATTCTCCCCTAAGTAGGCATACTGTAGATTCTCGGGTAGAGGTTTGAGCTCTAACTTAGGGGGTTCCTCTACAGATGAGCGAAGTTGGACTCGGGGTTCTATCTCTAAAGGTTCTCGTTGCCAGCCAACAGCAAAAACATGATTGATCAGCGGTTCTATCTCTAGTTCGTCATCAAAAAGCTCCTCAATCATTAACTCAGATGCATTTGAATCAGACTCACACTCTCCCTCTTGTTGTTCACTAGATATTCCTTGAATGAAATTCACTTCCATGGGTTCATCAGATGGATCACTAGGCTGTCTACCTAAGTTGAAAATATTGAGATCAACAGTCATATTCCCAAAAGATAGTTTCATCTGACCGGTTCTACAGTTTATCAAAGCATTTGAGGTGGCTAAGAACGGTCTTTCTAGAATGACGGGGATTTGAATTTTGAGATTGGAAACGGGCTCCGTTTCCAAGACAATAAAATCAACAGGGAAAATGAACTCTCCAACTTTGATCAGAACATCCTCTACCTCTCCTTTGGGAATTTTTACAGATCTATCAGCTAACTGTAGAGTGCATCTTGTCGGTTTAAGTTCTCCTACACCTAGCTGTTGATAGACTGAATAAGGAAGGAGGTTGACGCTGGCTCCCAAGTCTAGAAGTGCCTTATCAATGTGAGTGTTACCTATGACGCATGGAATTGTGGGACAACCAGGGTCCTTGTATTTCAACGGCATGGGTTTCGAAAAAATTTCACTGAGGTTGGCAGCTAAGAAGACTTTCTTGGGGACATTGGTGGTTCTTTTCTTAGTGCATAAGTCCTTCAAGAACTTTGCATAAGAAGGGATTTGTTCGATTGCATCTAGGAGAGGGATGTTGATCTTGACCTGTTTAAACGTTTCTAGGATTTTCTCAACCTGCGGGGAGTTTTTCCTAGGTTTGAGTCTATCTGGAAAGGGGGCAACGGGCCTATACCTATCTAGATCAGGCTCAATCTCAAGTTCAGCATTTTGGTCATTGGAAGGATTTGTTTCATCGGAAGGAGTGTTTTGAATGGGAGAAGGTGTTTGATCCGGTGGCATTCTAACCTGATTGTCTATTTGTTTTCCTGATCTTAGAGTGTGAATTGCATTCAGTTGAGCTGGATTGTTGGAACTGGATCCATTGTCTTTAGGGTTTGCAACAGGTTGACTTGTGAATTTTCCTTTTTCTCTCTCACTCACGGCAGAGGCTAGTTGCCCAAGTTGGGTTTCTAACCGGGCTATGGCTTGTGTGTTCGAGTTGAGCACTTGGCCAGTGGTTTGCATGAATGAATTTAGAGTGGTGGATGATTGGGTCAACATGTTGGTAGTTTGTGTAGAAGCTTTGATCATAGCTTCTAAACCCTTTTCTAAGACACTTAAACGTTTGTCATGATCAGAATTTGAAGGATTTGTAGGCTGGTGAGGATGAGGATGTTGGTTTGGAAAAGGTGGGTTAGAAAAATTGTTCGGTGCGTTGAATGGGACAGTGTTTCCCCTAGGGAATTGTTGGTTTGACGCGGGAATAAAGTTTTGGTTTCCATGAGAATTTCCTTGGTTCCAAGCAAAATTGGGATGATTTCTCCAACCTGGATTGTAGGTTGGAGAAAATGGATCATTTCTAGGGCGCTGGAATGCAGCGTTCATCTGTTCTAAAGCATGGTTGTTTCCTAGAAGAGGACATTCCTCTGAAACGTGGGTAGGAGACTGACAGTTATGACATCCCGGGGCAGAAATATGATTGATTTGAGCTGGAGCTCGTTCCTTAACTTCTAAGGCTTCTAACCTCTGTAGAATCATCGTCATCTTCGCTTCAGATGCAATGTTTGACTCCAGGGAAAGACCACTAGACTTAGATTGGGAAACAGATAAACCATGTCATCACAATTTTCCCACTGCATTGTTTTCTCGGATAAACTCTCTAAAATTTCCCAAGCTTCATCTGCGTTTTTTCTCATAAAATCTCCCTGACACATCGATTCTAAAGATGTTTTTGAAGAATAGTCCAATCCTTCATATATGACTTGGCACAATCGCCATTTTTCTAGACCGTGATGAGGACATTGGATTAAAAGATCTTTAAATCGGTCAAAGTATTTCCAGAAAGGCTCTCCCGGGACAATTTTAAAATTCTGAATGCTGTTCCTAAGCTTTACCGTTTTGTGAATAGGGAAAAATTTCTTGAGAAAAACTGTGACAAATTCTTCCCA